GAAGGCAGCTAGTCATCACCACCCACCGCCAACTCGTGGGCTACTCTTTTACCAACGAATAGTGGGATTGACCGAAACATTATAATGCCTCAACGGCTGAAAGAGCAAGCATGTTTGTGGGACGGGGATTCCAACCCGCGACCCTCGGATTGCGAGTCGAGCGCACTAACCTCCTGGCCATGCCGGGCGGCACGATTAAAAACATATTTTCATTATTATTATTATTTGGAAGTGGTAAGTGTGAAGGCCTATAACGCTATAAACCGTTGAGTAACTTTGCGCTTTACAACAAACAAACAAATAGAATTGGAACAGTGGTGTCCTCCGGTGGGGCAGCGGTAAGTCTACGGACTTACATCGCTAAAATCTGGGGCTCGATTCCTCGCAGTGGACACAGCAGTTAGCCAAATGTGGCTTTGTTCTAAGACGAACGAACGGAAGTGCAGTTTAACATTCAAATAGTTTTTCATTTTACTTTGTTAAAACAAAACTTTGAAGATTGAAGACTTTGACTACTTTTGCTGTTACTTGTACAAGGTTACTGGTGTGAACATCGTAAGTGACGTGTTAAAAAAGCTAGTAACTCTTGGTATTTGAGTATTTAAACAATGCTACAGGGTAGCGATATGAGTAAAGACTTTGGTTAATGTCACTCTCATTTGTGGCCCAGCATGGCCAGGTGGTTAGGGCGCTCGACTCGCAATCTAAGGGTAACGGGTTCGAATCCCCGTCACACCAAACATGCTCGCCCTTTCAGCCGTGGGGGCGTTATAATGTGACGGTCAATCCCACTATTCGTTGTTAAAAGAGTAGTCCAAGAGTTGGCGGTGGGTGGTGATGACTAGCTGCCTTCCATCTAGTCTTACACTGCTAAATTAGGGACGGCTAGCGCAGATAGCCCTCGTGTAGCTTTGCGAGAAATTCAAAACAAACAAACAAACCCTCATTTGTACAAGTTTACTGGTATGAACACCATAAGTGACATGTTAAAAATAGTGGTTGACGACACAGAATGTTAATAACACTACGTGATTAGGACTCGAACATTGTTACAGAGGCAACAAATACAACTGGAATTTAATCACTGACATTTTATACACCCAGTTTCTGTAAAGTGTTCATCATGTTTGGGTCTTTCTTTAGCACATGCATCTTTTGTGTGTTTGTGTTCCAACCATCATTTAGAAATAGCTCTAAACAGAAAATACTTATTTTTAAGTTTATTTATAAGTTGACAATAAATTTTGGTAGACAACTGAATCATTTTTCATTTGTTTTAGCGCAAAGCCACATTTGGCTATCTGCTGTCGCGGAGAATCGAACACCAGATCTTAGCGATGTGGGTCCATAAAGTCACCGCTGTCCCACCAGGCAACGAAAACTGAATAAACCTAAAAGTGCTGTCGCGAAACCTTCAAAGCATTAAGATTTGTGAAGGGTAACTTGTAGAAGAGGCTATTAGGCTGTTTGTAATATATATATATATAACGTCAAAATCTATTTCACATAGTAAAGTTGCTTTCAAGTAACTTGCTAATGTAAATAGTATCTGGAATCCCACTAACACTGAAGAGCCTTGTTATTGAGCAAAAACCCTCGTCGGTAATGGATATAGTAGTTAGGTGTGGTTGATATATTTTTGTATACTCTTCTTTACTTTCATTACAAAGTTCTTAATCATAACGCACACACACACACATACATATATATATGTATATATATACAAATCACAAATTTTAGTATACATGTTTAAAGTTTAAACTGTTTGTAGTGTTCGTTTACTACATGGAGATATGTTACATCATAATTTTTGTATTCAACAGGATAGATACATGCCTTCTTCAATGGGGGAGCCAGCAAGTTTGCTGCTTCCAAGCCAGGGAACAGCCGGAATGATCCCCGACTGTGTTCCGGACAGTACTTCGGGATCTCCTTTCCAACACTCGTTTTCTATCACTCCCACCTGCAATCCTTCCCCACCTTTACAACCCACGGGACCAACGGCTCATCACGTGGGAGTTAACTCCAGTCCTCCTTTGCAGCACGTGCAAAATGGTTATAGCCCGTCTCTTAGTCCCGAACACATACACACTCTACAACCTCCGTGTACAGGTAAGAAATCCTCTCTCTCTTACTGTTACTCTTATCACAGTATGCTCTGCCGTTAATAAAAAATTAAGGAAAATCAAACTCAGAATTATTTTTTTATTGAACTTATTAACCGGAAAATATTTCTGCGCGAAAATATGAGTGTGTGGGTCACGTTGTGGTATTTCTAATTAGATTCAGTTATTCGAATAACACGTATTACTATTAGATCGTCAAGAAATTAATGTCGCGTTTTGGAACACTTTCATTAACCATCCCCCCAAAAACGTACATCACGTATAATAGTTAAACGAACCGCCTAAAAGTCGGGTTAGTGTAGCCGATATAATGTGTAAGGTATAGTTTACTCTAATCCATTATAGTGATGACACACGACAAGACACACATTCGGCATGTAATGCTGTTTGAATACAAGAAGGGAAACGACGTCTTTGTAGCCACAAAGAATATCAAAGAAGTTTATACAAATATTTTGAACGTTCGTGTCAACTATGGTTCAGCAAATTTCATTCAGGTGATTTTAGCCTTAAAAACTGTGATGGCAGGGGCCGACATGTTGGAATTGATATTGATGCTCTGAAGACGCTTGTTGAGTCTAACCTGAGGCAACACACACTCGTGAAATGACCCTGAAATTGCATGCCTCTCATGAAACAATATATAAACATCTAAGAAGTATGAGAAAAC